CAGGCTTGAAGGCAAGAGTTTTGCAACCATCCTCTGAGAGTGTTTCTATTGTCTGTTGTTTCTTTCTTTTTTTTTTTTTTTTTTTTTTTTTTTTTTGCGGTATGCGGGCCTCTCACTGTTGTGGCCTCTCCCGCTGCGGAGCACAGGCTCCGGACGCGCAGGCTCAGCGGCCATGGCTCACGGGCCCAGCCGCTCTGCGGCATGTGGGATCTTCCCGGACCGGGGCACGAACCCGCGTCCCCTGCATCGGCAGACGGACTCTCAACCACTGCGCCACCAGGGAAGCCCCTGTCTGTTGTTTCTGCTAGCTCTTGGTTCAATTGTCTGGTCTCCTCCTGTGCCTGGCTGCCTTAGTTGTGTGCTAAATTTAAAAAAAAAAAAATTAGTTTGTAACATGTTTTAAGGATTAACACAATGTTATCTTCCTGCAGAGACAATTTTGTTTTCCTGTCCCGGTCCCTGAACTCACTAGAAATTAAAGATCATTTTAATCCAATTTTAGGGATTGAGACTCAAAGCTGGGCTACAGTCTATGTGAGGTCTGCCTTCCACATCACCCTTACTCCCAAGGTACAGCCTTCCAGGGTCTCAAACGAGTGGTCTGTGGATTTATAAGAGCCATTCACACACCCTGTCCCAAACTTTGGCAGGCCCTGGGCTCCTACTTTTGTCTCTGTAGTAATCTAGAAGCTGTTCAAAGTACTGCTCAGCTTCCCAGCTGCCTTTTTAGGATTGGCAACACCCCCCGCCCCCGCTACCTGCCATGGGAAAACAGCTCCAAATGCCGAGCCTCCCTCTCTGAATTTTTGTCTCCTCCTGTATCTTGCTCTAGGAATTCTTCACTATTGTGTTGACCCTCTGACAGCTTCAAGCAGATTTTTGTTTCTCTGCAGCCAGAGTTTTTATTAAAGGTAAAAATTGCTTTTCCAATTTCTTCCTTGGTTAATGGGCAGTTCATACTGCCTACTCCTTCTTGAGACAGGAGCAAAAGCATGGAGTTGGAAATGAACCTGGAAAGGATGAGGGTTCCCACTTAGCCCAAGTGGAGGGTGCTTGTTGGGGAGACATGGAGAAGGGTGAAGAGAGGAAAATCATGAAGGGCTAAGAGTGCCTAAAAGACTGGGCTGCCTGAAAGAGATGCATGCCCCAAAGACGTCCACTGCCCCCACTGAGGGAGCCCCGCTCAGGCTGGCTGAGTTGGGGGCTGCTGAGTCAGAGAAGGGAGGCCGTGCAAAGTTTCTACCCAACACAGGTGTAAAGTCAGGGCTAGGGCAGTAAAAAAAAACCCAGAAAACCCCAAATAACAGTGGTTTGAATAAGACAGACATTTATTTCTCTCTCACACCAAACAAGTTTGGAGGTGGGAGTCCACGGTCAGTCAGGTGACTTTACAAGGATGTCTAGGACCTTCCTTTTTTGCTCCACCATCTTCCACTCACAGCCTCTACTTCATGGTCCAAGAGCTTGAGTTTCACATTTCAGTCGGCAAGAAGGAGAAGGACAAAGAGTAACATCTTTTCCTTTTGGGGACACTTACACTACATCCCTCACGGCACTCATCCTATTGGCCAGAACGGGGTCACATGGTCACACCCACTACAAGGGAGGCTAGGAAATATAGTCTTTATTCTGGACCACCCCATGCCCAGCTAAGAATAAGGGATAGTGGGGACTTCCCTGGTGGTCCAGTGGTTGAGACTCCACGCTCCCAATGCAGGGGGCACGGGTTCGATCCCTGGTCAGGGAACTGAGAAACTAAGATCCCACATGCTGCACGGCACGGCCAAATAATAAATTTAAAAAAATAAGGGATTGTATTAGTAATGAAGAACGGGAGGAGGAATATTCAGGGACAACTTGTGGTCTCTGCTAGTGCCCTCCCCTTTTCTATCCTGTCCTCCCCCCTCTCCTCCAGGAAGCCTTCCCTGACATCTCCAGTACTTACAGGTGTAAAGTCACTCCCCCATACTCTTCTCCCTGTTCCTCCTGGGAACCCCCTATTCTGTCCTGGTCAAGTGGCTGGAGACCTTGGGCCATCATAGCAACACTTCTCTGAGGAGCAAGGTAACAGACGGGGTGGGGGTGGCGGGGGGGGGGGGGGGGAAAGGGTGGGGGGGGGGGGGGGGGGGGGGGGGGGGAATAAGGTCTGGATCAGGCAGGCACATGAGAAGGGGCACATGAGGAGTGTAAGCTGATCCCTCACCCCACCCCCACTCCTCCACCAGAGGACTGGGAGCCCGGGAGAGAGAGCCAGGAAGGGGAGGCCCACCTTCGAAGCTGGAGAGGCCTTACCTCCGGAAGGTACATAGGCGAAGCTGAGCATCTGCCGGCCCCACTGCCGGTGTGTCTAGGCAAATGTCTGCCTGGTCAGCCCTGGGACCACCTGTCTTGTTCCTCCCTTTGGGGTCCCACCTTGCCCACTGCTGTCATGTTCTCCAGGACTCTTTGGGTCTCCACACACCCTCTCTTCTGGTGCTGGACTAGGGTCACAGGATGACCCCCAGTGCAGACCCACCTCCTGCCCCAGGAAGCCACCACTCCCGATGATCACAGAGAGAGAGGGTTCCCCTCTGTACTCCGCTGTGTCAGGAATGGGGCATGGGGGCGGTGCAGAGCTCTTACACAGAACAGTCTGACTATAATCACGCTAGACTGTGGTCCTCTCAGGGCTGTGGAGCTCAGGAGCAGGAGGGAGGCACTGGCACCGGCTGCAGTGCCAGGGAAGGGCCTGGTTGAGGGGCTTGAGCTGTTCCACAAGAAGAGGAATACTAACCAACCCTTGGTACCAGATCCCCATCCTGCCCCAGAAGCTGTGAATCTTCTAAAAGTTCTTGTATTGAAATCCTTGATCTCAAGCTAGAATTCCCACTCAATTTATTTCAGGTACGAGGAACAGTTTATTTCAGGTGTTGGGATGGCCATCCTGTTGGAGCGCAAGGGAAGAGCAGCGAGACCCCAGGTCTAGCCCAGCTCAAGTGCAAATTCCAGTACCAGCCCTGTCATAGACTGAGCCCCATCCTTGTGCATAACCTAAGCCCTGATCCTAGACACAGGCTGAGCCCTGATCTCTAGCTCTTGATTGAGCTTTCTCTGTAAAATTGTTCTTGATCAGCAGGGGCTTGAATGGGGAGAGTGAGCACGTGCTCATCTCCCACCACTGGAGCCTGAACCCAGAGCCCTTGCCCAGTGGTGTGCAGTGGTCTTCAGGCATGCTTCTGTCCCTCATCCCTCTCCTGTCCCTGGGAGCTCCTGCTTTGACCATCGCTGTTAAGCTGGCCTCAGAGCTGAGAGAATCTTCAGCCCTGCCCCCAGCTTTGGCCCCAGCCTCGCCTAGACTGGCCTGGCCTGGCCAGGAGGGGCGCTGAAGGGGCCGGGAGATGAGGACCCAGTGTCCTAGGGTGTGAGTGGCCTTTGCTCTTGGACTGGAGCCATCAGAAATCAAATCTTCCTGGCCCTGAGGGTGCCTGGGAAGGGGGCGGACCTGCCAGCCTGGGCAGAGGTTGGGGTTTCTGCAATCACGCCCTCCTTTGTGGAACACTGACATCTCCGGAGACAGAGGCTTCCTGGCATCACCAGGTAAGACCTGGGCATCCTGGGAGCACAGGCAAGGAAGATGGAATGGGGGTGCCAGAGTGGGTTGGCTGGCCTGGGAGATGGGGTCACAGGCCAGAGTCAGGGCTGGGGGGCCGCTTATGGAAGGGCAGGTGGGAGAATGGGGGCAATGGAACTAGGACCGGAGGTATAAGTTGTCAAAGACCAAAGCCTGCCCTGAGGAGGGCATCCACCCCACAACCTGGCCAGGCCTGGACTCTTAACCTCTTCACCCCGAAGGGGCTGGGATGCAGACACAGGAGTGCAGGTTTACAAAGCAGTTGAGCTGTGATTGAACAGAGGGAAAGGGCTGGGCTGAGGGGTTTGCCTGATCCTGGGATGATATATGTGTTAGGGCTGGGTCGGACCATGGAGGATTTTTCCCTTAGAGGAAGGAGTGCCTCCAGGTAGGAGTTGCTGGGTGGTGGCAAGAGGCAGGCGAGGAGGGCTGGAGTTTCCAGCCTGATTTCCTGCTGTGAAGGGTTCTAGGGATTATCTCCCCTTAAGGGGCTTCTGCGGTCTGCCTGTCGTGAGTGACCTGGGGCAGACAGGTCACTGACCCTCTCGGAGGTCACACACAGGCCAGGAGCCTGGTGGGAGAGGCTTTGAAAGAGCTGAAAACTTCCTACAGCTGCCAGGGGTGGGATTGGCGGGGGAGGGATGCAGAGCATGGTCTGAGCCCCAAGCCGAGCTGGCTCCCGTGAAGGCACCAGACCCCTGCCCTTCCTGCCCTCAGCAGCTCAAAGCTTCTTAGGGCCGCCCTGGTCCTTCTCCTCCTGTGTCTGCAGGGGCAGGGGGAGGAAGAGGGGTGGCGAGCAGAAAGCAGGAATGACTGCAGCAACAACCAGGAGGAGGCTCTGGTTGAGACTCCACACCGTTCTGGGTCTGCCCAGAATGCCAGGTCTGCGGGGGTACCAGGGAAGGACCCCTCAACCCAAAGCCCACCCATCTCCACACCCAACATCCCCAGTCCAGGTCTCTGGCCAGGATTCCACAGGGGCCCAGTGGGGGCGGGCAAGATGGGGACTGCTCTCTGATCTGCCCTCCTCCAGACTCCCCTCCTAGCCTAATGTGGTGGGAGCAGGGACAAAAGTGCCTCAGGAGCTGGGGCGGGGGATGGGACATGGCTGTCAGTGTCACTGCCCTCCCCTAAGTCCCATTCTACCTGGACACCAGCAGAGCTCCCCCCACGGTTAGCACCTCTGCCATCATCACAGCTCTACCATGACTGCCACTGTCGCCACAGCCGCCCCACCGTCAGCAGCACTAACGCCCCACCCGCGCCCGGATTATCTGCACCCCTGAGACCCTCGCCACGCCCACGAAGAGCACCCGCCTCACATTTGAAGACTGGGCAGAACTTTTCATTCTTCTTCAATAAGTTTTCAGGCCTATAACCTCTCGGGCTGTGGGGCTGGCACGTTCAACAGAGTCTGCAGCCCAGAGGGAGAAGGGCTTTGCTGGAGGGTCAGGCAGCAGCGGCTTGCAGCTGAGCTGCAGGGCAGAAGTGTGGAAAGGGGCCAGGCAGACGCAGCTCAGGGAGTGGCTGGAGGCTTCAGCTAACCAGAGCTCACAGCTGGGCAACCTTCCTTTCCTGAAGGGGGATCCGAGCAGAGTCTTCCATCTGCCACCTTGCATCTGGTCCTGGAGGCTTGGCAGCCTGAGCGGGAGCCATCAGCATGAACGGGCAGTGGCTTCCAGCCGCTGGGCTTCTCCTGGCTGGTAAGTGAAGGTGCGGCCCCTGGGGGTGGGGGGCCTGTCCTAGACCCCGCCCACTCACCTGGGGGACTTCCATGGCTCCCACATCAGGGCTGACCTTCCTTGTCTTCATGTCAGCCTGGCTTTGGTCAGCTCAGAGGATCCTGAGACGGGGCCAGGATCCCCTGCTCAGTCCCCCACATTTGGGGCTCCATGAGGGCACTCAGCGTCACCCACTTGGGTGAGCCTGGCATGGGGCTGGCCCCCAAGGGGCTCAGTGCACCCTTGTAGCCAGGTGTGGTATTACAGCTGTCAGAGATGGGTCCCCTCCCCATCCCCCCACCCCCCTTCAGCCCTCCAGAAGCATCCTGTGTTCTGGGAATGGAATAAGGTAATTGCCTTGTTTCCTTGCTGGAGGTTGAACAGCACTTCCCAGCATCCTCAAGCAGCCTGCGTCCCACCAGAAAAGACTCCTTTGAGGAGGGGTCCTGCCATGGGGTGGAGTTGGGATGGGAGAGAAGAGAGGGACCCTTGAGGTATGCCCCTTTACCCTCACTGTCCCCCTGTCTGGTGGCAGGGCAGAGTTCCCCTGTCTCTGGTGGGCTAGGGCCAGAGAAAGGAAGTTTCTCCAGAGGTAGCCCAGTGGTTTGGGGCAGAGCCGGGGCCAGGGTTTGGGTCTCCTCAGGCGCCCTAAAGGAGGGAGGAGGCAGGGAGGGCCGGCATCTAAGAGGCTGTGGGCCAATCCCACCCCACCGAGCAGCTGGCAAAACGGGCCTCTCCTGTTTTGCAGCTGTCCTGGTGGTCTCGGCTTCCGCCCTGCCCCGTCTTCCTCCTCACAAAGACCTGGGTCCGTCTCCCTTGGCTTCTGGCCCATCTGCTTTGCAAGGGGACAGCAAGAAGATAGTCCTCCCATCATTAAACGCCTTGGTGACAGTCCTCGCTGGAGTCTTTCCCTCAGCCAAGAGGCCAGGGGAGGCTCCTGGCAGGAAGGCAGGAGCCCTTTTTCCAGAGGCACCTGGGGACCAGCAGACTCTTCTAGGCTCGCTCCTGGACTTGCCTCTCCACTCAGACCAGCCTGCCCCTTTGGGAACCAGTGGGGTCTCAGGCAGGGCCACACCCAGACCAGCTCCATCAGCAGTGGCTGAGCCTGCAGCCCACAGGGCCCCTGAGTCCCAGCCAGTGTCCTACGTGGCTGGACCTGGAGAGGAGATCTTGGTCACCGGGTCTCCAGAGATAGCTGCCACGTCACCATCGCAGGCTTCTCCACAACCTCTGGCCTGGCCCGTGGGCAGGCACACCTTCAGCCCCAATGCTTGGGTGCCATCTGCATCAGGGGCCAGCAACTTCAGCCCAGGGACCGCCCCACTTCTGACATTGGCTCCAAAGGCCCCAGAGAAGGCCGTGTCCTCAGCACCCCAGGGCCCACTTGCGTTTACATCGATCAGTAACACATTGGCTGCCACAGAGCCTCTTCTCCCTGTAGCAACAGTATGGTCAGGGCCGGACACGGCCCCCACAGCGCTCACAGTGGGCTCAGGCTCACCCAGAAGTGGTCTGGCGTCCAGTCTGGGTCCAGCACCCAGTGGTCCTTCAATGTTGCCATTGCCCTCAGCGGTACCCTCTCCACAGTCGTCATCAGCATCACTGCCACTGTCGTCCCCACCCTCATCCCCGTCACCTGCACTAACGTCACCATCACCAGTCCTGGCCCCAGTTTCCCCCTTCACCACCGGAGCCAGAACCTCTCCAGAGATGCTTCTGCATCTGAGCTCCCACCTACAACCTCAGGCCTTATCTTCAGTGTTTCCAGCGTCCCACCTGCCCTGCCACCTCTGGTGGTTACAGGGATGGCTGCTCTTCCATGGACAGTCCAGCCTGGGCCGGTGGTCCCTGCCAACGCAGCCCCCTTGACCACCCGCTCCCTCGGATGTGTCTCTGGCCTTCCCGCCGGCTGCCCGAGCGTCCCTGGAGGTGCCGCCTCCTCCCAGTCGTCTTTCCTGCCTCACCCTGGCCAAGCTGTCTCATTGCAGGACTCAGGCTCCCCCTCCCCAGGACCCAGTCGTGTGACTCACTCTGTGACCTTCAGGATCACCAATGAAGCCTTCTCAGCGGCATTCGGGAACCCTGCCTCCCTGGAGTACCAGCTGCTGAGTGAAAACATCCGACATCAGGTGCGGGCTTCTTCCTCCGTCTGCTCAGGCGTGCTGACCCCAGCCCACCCCCTACCCCACTTACCTCTGAGCACCCAGGCCCCGTCCCGCCTCTGTGCTTTGGCATGGGCTGTTCCTCCACCCTGGGCCACCTCGCGCCTTCCGCTGCCCTTGCTGCCTAGCGAAGGCTGCCTCCTTGGAGAGGCCTCCCCCGGTGACTCAGACCCCCTGCCCCACAGAATCGGCATCCCTCCCTCTGTGAGCTGCCTTTCCCACACAGTCCCACCCCAACCTGCGGCTCTCCGCAGACCTCAGCTCCCTGAGGGCGGCCGGGCACAGGGCTGGGTGCCCACAGGAGCTCTGGAAGTGTGGAGTCAATGAAACTCACCCTGTGCCTCTCCTTGGTGTGGGGAGGAGCATGTGGCGTGCAAGGTGGGAGCCCAAGAGGTAGAAAACTGACGCTGTCCTGTGAGTGGCTCCAGGGGGGGGGGGGCCAGGCAGAGACCCTTGCAGAGGGTGGGTGGGGAGGGCGCCCTCCCAGGAGGGCGGGGAGCTGTTACGGAATAAACAGACTGATTTAGATTGCCATGGTTAGGGGGCTGCCCAGAGAACACCTTTCTTTCCTTTTTTTTTTTTAGTATAAATTTATTTATTCATTGGCTGCGTTGGGTCTTCGTCGCTGCGCGCGGGCTTTCTCTAGTTGCGGCGAGTGGGGGCTGCTCTTTGTTGTGGTGCGTGGGCTTCTCACTGCGGTGGCTTCTCTTGTTGTAGAGCATGGACTCTTGGCGTGTGGGCTTCAGTAGTTGCGGCACGCGGGCTCAGTAGTTGTGGCACGCGGGCTCAGTGGTTGTGGCTTGTGGGCTGTAGAGCACAGGCTCAGTAGTTGTAGCACACGGGTTTAGTTGCCCCGCGGCATGTAGGACCTTCCCAGACCAGGGCTCGAACCCGTGTCCCCTGCATTGGCAGGCAGATTCTTAACCACTGCGCCACCAGGGAAGTCCGAGAACCCCTTTCTGAGAAAGGGGAATTTTAACTGGGATGGAGAGAAGGCAGCCAGATAAAATGGGGAGGGGCTTTCTAGACAGAGGGAACAGCATGTGTGAGGACCCTGAGGTGAAAAGGTGGGCAGAGGCTGAGGCCCAGGGCCATGGGAGAGAGGGGCTGCATGGAGAAGAAATGAAACCCAGGGTGGGAGGGGGAGAATTAGGAGGAGGGGCTGTCGTCCAGGTGTGATGGCAGGGTGGCGGCTGTAGGGATACAGGACAATTGGATTGGAGAGTGATTTTCAATAAAACTACAGAGAAGGAAAGGCCTGGGAAGCCTGTGTGTTTGCTGGACAGCTGGAGGCGCCCTGCGGTTCTCAGTAGAGGGTGATCGGCAGGTGGTCCCTGGCGGCCATGCGGGGAAGTCTTGGGTGGCCCCCGGCAGTCCAGGTGGCCAGTGGGGCCATTGCAGGGGCCAGACCAGAGATAATGAGAGTGGACGAGGGTGGGCTGATGCTGTGGAGGAGTGGGGGGCCACGATGACCCTCAAATGCCTCTGTCTGTCCTCAGCTCCAGTCTGTCTATCACGAGGCCTTCTCCAGCTTTGAGGGTGTCGGTGTCCTGCTCTTTAGGTAAGTGAGCGAGTCTTTCAGGGTCCACCACCTGCCTGCCAGCCGGTCTGTGTCTTCTCAGGCCACAAGAGCACTTGCCCAGGCTGCCCCGCCGTGCCCAGCCCCATCAAGGCCAGAAGCACCTTAGGGACCAGGAAAAGCCCTGAGCGGGCGGGCAGGAGGCCCACATCTGGTTCTGCCCCTGGCTGCGTGACCTCAGGTGACCTCCTGCCTGCTCTGAGCCCCAATTCCAGCTGCAGAATTTGGGCAGGGGTGCCAGGCATTGCCTGAATGTGGTGGGAAAGGCAGAGGACTTCCCTGGGGCCAGGAGTCCATAAATGACATGTAAACAGATGCAAATCCCCTTTCTGGTTCTGAGCCCCTGGGGATACTGGGGGGGGACCTAAAGCCAGATTTGCAAGCAGATGCCAGCCCTGCAATCTCATAAAAAAGGTTGAGAAGGTCCAAATCATCACATGTGAATTGTGAGCTCGGTGTAGACCTTGATAGAGGCTTGATTATACCTAGTGATGGGAAGTTCACCACCACTATCTTTCCAGGCCTTGAGCCAAGTTAGTTAGAAAGTTTCCCCTTTTAATGAACTGAAATCTCTCTCTGAATTCCCTGCCCTGGGTCTGAACAGAAGCTTTGTCTCCCCAGCCCCAGGACGGCACAGCAGAAAACGGGTCCTCAGGGGAAGGATGAAGGAAATCTGGATCCCGAGGCTGCTTGTTTTCAGATCTCTCCCCACAAACCCCTTCAACCCCATGCTCAGGCCAGGCTGCCTCCTCAGGACGTGGCCAGTTGGTCCACCTCCTACAGGCTTTCAGAGATTCCTCAGGCCTGTCACCTCCCTCTCTCCAGATCCCCTGCTCCTGTGATGCCACCAAAGATGTTTTTCTCAGTCTGGCTCAGGTTGACTTCCTGATTGCTCACAGCGGCCGTCTCCCTGGGCGGGATTCCCAGTGTTCCCATTAGAACCAGTTTGTTGGGGTGTCCGAGGGAACCTGCTTTCCCGAGCACCTGCTTTGTGCTCTGCTGGCTGCACCATTAGTCATCACACAACCCTACAGCAAAGGCATCATTGCCCGCATTTTAGCGAGGAGGCAGCTGAGGCCCAGAGGGGTGTTGTCACACAGGGACTCAGTCCATGGCTCCCCCGGTGGATTCCCCTTCCTCGGGACAGTGGCCTACTTGTGCACCAGTCAGGTCCTCATCCAGCCCCCAGGGCCCTCCCTGCTCCCACTGGACCCCTGGTAAGGATGTGTCTCTGTCCCCAGGCCTGACTCTGCAGCTGTGAATGCCTCCCTTGTGTTTGGGGGCCTCGCCCCGGGCCCCTCTGCCCGTGAAGTCCTCTGGACTCTGTACCGCAAAGTGAAGGCCGCAGGGAAGATGTTGGGGAACCTGTCCCTGGATGAGAGCAGCCTCGCCTCTGATGGTGAGTCTCCGCCCGACCCCCCCAACCCCCTACCTCAGTGCCTCCTCGCCTGCCCACAGATGGCTGGGGGTGCTCCCTAGAGGGGCCCAGCTCCTGCCCTGGCCATGAGGCAGCGCATGGTAGATCAGGAGGCTCCTGGGGCCTCCTGAAGTCCCAGCCATGGCTCTGCAGGGTCCAACCTGACCGACCTGGCCCTGGAGACCACCAGCATCCATCTCACGGCCATGAGGCCCTTCCAGCCCCCGCTCCTCCTGCCTGGCTCTGCCCCCTTTGTCCTGCTGGAAAAGACGATCCTCCGACAGGTGAGGTGGCCTCTTGCCCTCCCTCCAAAGCCTGGGACACCCACTTTGCCTTCGTTGACTGCAGGCCTCCGTGGCTTGGGGGTGAGGCGTGGGGCGGCACCCAGCCACAGCCCTGTGGGGGGAGGCAGGAATGGAGGGCACACAGCCCTGCCTGATGGGCCCCCGTTTGAGGGGTGACACCCTGCCCGGGGGGGGGGAGAGGTTGCCTGAGGGAGGTGACAGCTCTGTCCCAGGGGCATATGGTCAGGCTCTGTAACCAGACACCCCTATCCAGGGCCAGCACTAGGGTAGGAAGTGAGACACCCAGGACGCAATATTTAAGGAGACGCTCAGTTGCCTCACCCCAGCCCTGCCCCCACTCCATCCCATGCTGGGTCTCAGGAGTGACAGTCCCCAGGCCGGCCCTGACCTCCAGGACTCCCCACAGGTCACACCCGTGCTGTCAGGATTCTATACAGCGCGTCCCCAGGAAGAGCCCCTGCTCCTCTTCAGGTGGGTTGGGCTCTTCCCCTGCTGCCCAGCCTGCCCTGCTCCTCTCCTGGGGGCCACCCTGGGGCAGAGGGGGGCGTGACTCCGAGCCAGGCCATGGGAGCCATGGGCTGGGAGCCACCAGGGGAGGGCTTTGTCCCAGATAGCTCCAGCTGGCCCTATGAAGCTCTGCCCTAGGAGGTAGGGAGCCCTAGTGCCTGAGAGTGTGCTGGGGTGGGAGGGTGGATACCTGCTTCTAGAAACATGTGCTGGCGGAGTCTGTAACCCCTGCACTCCCCTCTTGTACTCGCCCTAGTAATGCGGGCCAGTGGGTGGGCGTTTACATCGAATACAAGTTCCAGACCCCCATCGGTACCCACCTCCCAGGCTTGGCCAATCACCTGGCCCGGAACATAATGGATCCTGCTGTCCAGAAATCCAGCATCATGGCCAATGGTGAGTCAAGGCTGGGATCCCTGTGTGTCTCTGGTCAGCAGCCTCAACCTCTCTGGGTCTCAATGTTCCTCCTCTGGAGAATGGACAGAATTTCATTTCGACCACAAATACTCTTGTGCTGGGGCCACCGAGAAGAATCAGTTACGGAGCCTCAGATGGGGAGCTGGATCGATAAGCTCCGTGGGCCATCGTATCTGTCACAGCTACTCGACTGCTCCCTTATAGCTAGAAGGCAGCCCCAGGCAATATGTAGACAGATGGGCATGGCTGTGTGCCAACACAACTTGATGGATACGGAAACTTGTATATCATCACATAACTTTGATGTGCCACAAAATACTATCCTTTTGATGTTTTTCAACTATTTAAAAAGGTAAAAACTGTTCTTAGCTCGTGGGCTATACGTAAACAGGCAGCGGGAGGGATTGAGCCTCAGCCTGGATGGGGCTGACTGCTGGCTGAGAGCATAGAGGTTGGGGTGAGCAGCCCTGTGCAGGGCTTGGTCCTCTCCCAGGGCTCCCCGGATAGGGGGCTTAGGCTGATGCCCACCCACCTCTCCGCCCCTCTAGCGGGGAAAGCAGAGCTGGTGCAGTATGAAGTGTGGCTGCAGATCCTGGACCAACCCCTCACCAAGGGCTTGCGGGACAAAAGCAGCCCTAAGTCCCAGAAACTTCGGGGGATGCTGATGAGATGGGTGAAGTGGGGGCGGGGGGAGAGAAGGGAGGAGCAGGAGGCTGGAGGCTTCATGTGTGGGGACCCAACAAGGCTGCAGTACAGCTGTGACCCTCTTCCTCCTCTCTGCTCCCCAGCTGACCACCGTCCTCAGGCCTCTGCAGAACTTCGGCCAAGTGGTGGTGGAGAAGTTCCAGTAAGGCTGCGGTGGCTCTGGGTGACCTGGGGCCCAGGGCTGAACTCTAGCGGTGGGGCCAGTGGCTCAGGAAAACGGCCTTCCTGAGACCCACCCCCCCCCGGGCTGTCTAGCCTCCTGACACTGGTGAAGATCCTCCTGCCAGGCCCGACCCACTGACTGCCAGGGTGGGTGCCACCTTCTTCAGGGCCGTGCCGGCCCGAGCCCTCGTGCAGGACTGCGTGCTCCGGGGTCTGCATGCCCTGCAGGAAGCTGAGGGCCTCTCCGTGGAGATGGTCAGCCCAGACCTCGGTCAGTGCCTCTCTCCCGGCTTCCCTCTATGTATCTGTGTCATCCGGCCGTTTGCATCCTGCCTCAGGCTCGTTGCCTTGCTGCCCCTGCTCCCCCCTCCGGCCCTCCCTTCCTCCTGGACTAGCCCCCAGCTGGCTGCTTTTTAGGGTCCAGGCCCGGCTCCTCCTCTTCCCGGGAGCCCTCCAAGGTGGCCCCAGCTCTACAGCTCTATTCCTGTAGCTCCTTCTGGGCCAGGACCCCTCGCCTGGGCCTCCTCTGCAGGCCTGGCTTTGCCTTCTCAGGGATCTGTAGTCTGGAAGAGTGGGGACCCACCCAGCCATCATCTGCCTGTTGGTCCCGAAGCCTCAGGTCAGCTTCACGCCCCCACCCCCAGCCATGCTGTGGCGCTCATCGTCCTGGGGCTCCTGCTTCTTGCACTCACCCTCGTCCTGCTGAGTGTCTGACTGGGCCAGCCAGGGTCTCTTTCCCGGGAGACAGGCTGGGCCCTTGACCCTCTGAGTCAAGCTGAGGGGGTCACTCCCCACCCCAGGAACTGAGGGGCTTCCAGCCAGGGAGCTTGGCCTGACCCCACCCTTCCCGTCCCAGGTGCTGACGCGGAAGGCCTGCTTCAGAGTGTCCAGGTACAGAGGTCAGTTCTCCCTGCTCCCCGGGACGTTTACTCTGGATGGGGTCGGCCTCCCAGCCACCAAGGCCTCGTGCAAACATTTCCCAGTGGGTGTTGACAGAGCCTGGGCGGTACAGTCACTGTGCCCCAAAAGCTCACCCCCTCTGTCATGGGGGGGTGAACCCGGGGTGGTCAAGCGGAACCCTCTAAATGCGCTCCACTTAGCCCCAGAAATGCTGCAGAGGGTGGGTGGACAGAGGCAGAACTTAGGGCCCCACGTGGCCAGGAGAGCTGGAGCAGGGAAGGAGATCTGGGGAGGGGAGCTTGCCTCTACCACCGGAGGACCAGGCAGCGACTCCTCCACGCCCCGGAAGAAGTGGGGACACGTACCCCAACTCAGTGTCCCCTTTGACCCCAAAGCCAGGAGGACGTGGGGGAGGGCAGGTAACACCATTCTGGGTACACTGTTGTTCCTGACTCCTGGCTTTTGTCCTTTCCCCACCCCCCAGGCGCCCCTTCCCGCTGTTGCTCCCGCCACTAAAACCGCACCCCAAACCTCTCCTCCTCCTGGCCCTGCCCCCAGCCTTCCACAGTCAGCGCCTGAACCCTGACAACGAGAGCCAGAGCAGCAAGGCACCACCTGAGGTCACACAGCAAGGGGGCTTCTTCCCTCCTACCTCATCCAAGGACTAGACTCCCAGGGCCGCGACAGAGGCAGGGTGCGGGGGACAGCGCCTCACCACCCACACCAGGGACACCAGGCGTGCTCTAACCACGGCGGCACCCACCTCCCCCCAGAAGGTCTGGAAAACTACTCAATACCATCGTCATACTCAGGTCAGGCCCTGGGGAGCGGAACAGGGCAAGATGAAGGCCTGCAGAAGATGCGGACAGGGGAACAGAGCTGGCGCCCTCACACCTGGCCTGACACGGTGGTGGGGCTGGAGGTATCATTGGTCTCAAGCCAAACTCCGGTCCTTTTGGGGTATGGAAAATTAAATGACACGGCGCACTCAGAAGCTGGTACAAAAGACTGCTTTTGTTTCTAGGCAGTCATCCAACATGAGAACACAGGAGAGGTTCAGAGCAGAGCCCACAGGAGGAGGAGGTGGGGGCAGAAGACTGACTGACAGGGTCAAGTGTGGGAATGGGGACTCTTGGGGGCAAGGCCTGGTCCCAGCCCCACCTCCGCCTTAGGGCCGGCCACCCTCAGACCAAAGGCCTTGGGGGTGCTGGTGGCCGAGGTGAGGCCTGGCTGTGTGCCAGGGAAGGTTGGTGCCGCGGGGCAAGCCGGGCTCAGAGAACAGACCACCTGGCTAGGGAAGGTCTAGGACAGAAGCTGAGCTGACAGCCTCTCAGGGGCGGAGGGTGGGGCTTTGGAGGGGGAGGCAGCTTTCCTGGACCACAGCCAGGGAGGTGAAGGCCTTGGCCCACAAAGCTCCAGCGACTGCTGGGCCCGCTGGGACGTGAGAGATTTGGTAGCACAGGGCGATGGCCTTTGAAACCATGACCTAGAAGGGAAGGGGACTCAAGTGTAGTCTTACCCCAAAGGCTCCCTCGACCTACAGAAGAGCCGGCAGGCCCGGTGAGGGGACCCAGGAGCCCAGGGCCCAGACCATGGGCTTACCTGGCCAAAGATAGCAGCCAGCACCAAGATGCCAGAGAGGGTCAACAGGAAGGTCACCATGTAGAGGTTGACTGTAGCTGGCGGCCGATTCCTCTGCACTTCTGGAACACTTAAGCTTTCATTCATACCCCTGAAGGTCCCCTGCCCCCCAAGCCTCTACCCCTTGGTACCCGGAAAGTAGCCTGATATCTGCACCTATCTTGGGTCAGCCCCCTCTCTCCACGACTTCTGACTCAAGGGCCACGGCAGGCCAGGGACTAGGAGGCGGCCCTGCAAGATGCTCCCCCAACCGTCAGGATGCCTAAAATATCCCTGCTAGTGTTTTTCTTAGGGAGGGAGGGTTATGCTAGCCTTGTTCTCCCGAGCTGCCCCCCTTACCATGAGAGTCCCTGTAGGTGATACAGGAGAGAAGGGGGTGGGATAAGCAGGAAAGAGCCTGAGGGTCAAGGCTGGCCAGTGAACACTGAGCCCCTCTTCTCTTCAGGCTTTGGTCGCCTGGCCCTCCACAAGCCAGGCTGTCGAGCATCACATGAGGCCTTGCATGAAGATACAGTTCAGACACACCCAGTGACCTCTGTGGGTTTGAAGGAGAAGGTACAGGGAAGGAAACCCACACGTGGGGACCTAGCATGGTCTCTCTGGAGGTGAAGTGACAGTACCTGCAACACATAAGGAGAAAGGGTCTACCTGGCAAGGTGAGCCAGCCATGCGGACACCAGGCTGGACAGACATCACCAGGGTCTACAGGACGGCGGAGGGGCCTGGCAAACCAGCACCCTCACGCAGACGAGTCTTTCCTAAGCAGGTCTTCCCCATGGGCCAGATGGGGCCTGCAGGACACTTCCCACGCCCCACCGTTACACGGACTTTAATTCTCAGCAGCCCTGGAACTGCGTAGTCCCATTCTCCAGCTGAATAAACAGAGGCTCAGAGATGCACATGCAGTGCTACCTTGATCACTCCGCCTGCTGCCTCCTCCAGAACTCAGTTCATTCTAAAAACCTAACACTCATCAAGCGTCTGTGAATAGGTTCCATTATCCCCATCTCGCAGCTGAGGAGAGGGAAGCAGCAGCGTCTGTGAATAGGTTCCATTACCCCATCTCGCAGCCGAGGAGAGGGAAGCAGAGGCGTTAAGTGACTTGCCCAAGGTCACAGTCACAGGGCTTCAGAGCCTGCATTCTTGACGACCACATGCCCACAGCAGGGCGGTGCTATAGCATCTGCACCTGAAAGGCGGGAGCTCTGCTGCTTTCATACGACGTGCAGCCCCAGGTTTTGGGAGGTGGCAGTGCAGGAAACAAGCCGGCCCATTGGGCCAGTGGTTCTCCAGGGTCTGAAGGGCAGGGAGAGTGCTGTGAGCCACTCCCCCACCCACCCCAGCATCACTCACTGGGAACCTTGAATCAGCACCTGCCAGAGGGCGGGGAAGGGGCTCAGCCCCGGCTGCACCTGGAGTGGGAGGTGGGCAGGGATGGGCACTCTGCCTTCAAGCAGCCTCAGGCGGGTGAGAGAGGACCAGATCTCTTGCCTCACCCTTTCCCCCCACCCCAAGGTGCCCTGCAGGGGAGAAGGGGCAGCTGCCCACCAGGCCATTGCTCAGATGGAGAAGAGCCTATGGGAACCATGGGGGCTGTATCCTAGAAGGAGAGCATGACCTCCTGGTTACTCCAAGGCCAGGCCCAGGCCTACCAAGGTGGCCACGTCTCCGATGAGGGCCTGGTAGATAAGAGACGCAATGTCCCTGAGCGGTTCTATAAACTTCCTGTTAAGGACAGACGAGGAAATGGGCAAGACAGTCATGTTCAGTGAGAGCCTGGCAGGTAAAGGAGGGGCCAGAAGCAGACAGAGGTCAGCTGGGCCCAGGCCTGGCCCCTGGAGGGACAGCAGGCTGGGGGAGGGGTGTCACTCACCAGCCACAGCGAGGGAGCTCAGGTTCATGAGCAGCTGGGCAAGGCCATCAGCACCTGGGGACCGTCTGCCGGACCTGGCTCTGCACTCGGGCTTCTGCCTGGAACCACAGGTGCCTGACACTGGCCTGAGGTAGGGAGGGTGGCAGGAGAGGCACCTGTGGCCAAATGCAGGCACCTCAGCACGGGGGTGGGGGTATGCGGTGCCCAAAAGAGACTACCGGGGCCACGAGCTTAAGCGAGTGTCATCCTGGGACATCTTGTCCACATAAGTCAGACCTTATCCCCACCCTCAGCTCACAGTCTGGTTGGGGCTTGACAAACAGATGTCAGTGCTGTGGAGAGGGGGCCTAGCCAGCGTGGGACATCCAGCAAGGATGTGTTTTGAATCTGCCAGGAAGATCCATCCACAACAGAAGGACCCTCAGGTCCAAGTCCAGGGCCCAAGAGCTATGGGCTAGGTGTTCACCCAGGGGCTGGAATG